TATAAGGAGTTGCCCTGAACTTGGGAAGAAATTAGTTCTCATTACTAGGAGAAAATTATATGATGCACATCTGCAAGATAAAGCCACTGTCATTAATCAAAGCCTGGAAAAAGGAAACATCTAGCAAGGTGACTTCTTTTTCAGACTTTTGATTACATTCATAAAACATGAAATTAAATAAGCTCAGCAATTGTATTCATGTTTGCTATGGTAGTTGTTCCTGTCTAGCTATAAAATTCATTTGCAGGATATGAATTGCTTTCTTATCTGAAGAAAACGGTCTCTTCTGTAGTTTGCAGGATAGCTGAGCGTTGTTGGATGCATTATAGCACAGAGAAGCAGTATATGCTGAAAATTGAGACAGAGATGTGGAAAAGAAATCAGTCTTGAAAGCTGTCTGTTGGATAAAAAAAAATTTGGTGCGTTAGAACCTGTCTTTCTATCTATCTATCTATCCCTTTTGTTACAAGTAGAAGGCTGAATGATGATTCCCAAATGTGATTGAACGTTTTTTCCTAATGTTGTGCATGAATAACTTTTACTTTACAAGTCTCTTAGACCTATCACCTGATTAGTACAATTAGTAAGGGTACTGAAAAGGAGAGTTGGGAAATTTTTCACCATAAGGACACGAAGCTGAAGATAGCAAAGACTACAATCTAGTTTTCATGTAGAGTGCAAAATACTGGCTTAGCTTGTTTTTCTATGGCATGGGAAGCTGAGAACTCTTTTTGAGTCCCTGTTCCTTGTGTGACTGTTGCTCTTTGAACGGATAGGTCTTGCTGAACTTTTGGTACACAAGCTTCCAATGCTCTATGTTGGCAAGACATAGAGGCCCACGTGGCCAAGAAGGCCAATGGCATCCTGGCTTGCATCAGGAATGGTGTTGCCAGCAGGAACAGGGCAGTGATTGTCCCCCTGTACTCAGCTCTGGTGAGGCCGCACCTCGAGTGCTGTGCCCAGTTTTGGGCCCCTCACTGCAAGAAAGACATTGAGGCCCTGGAGCGGGTTCAAAGAATGGCAACAAAGCTGGTGAGGGGTCTGGAACACAGGACTTATGAGGAGCGGCTGAAGGAGCTGGGATTGTTCAGTCTGGAGAAGAGGAGGCTCAGGGGAGACCTCATTGCTCTCTGTAACTACCTGAAGGGAGGTTGTAATGAGCTGGGGGTCGGCCTTTTCTCTCGTGTAACAGTGACAGGACTAGAGGGAATGGATTCAAGCTGCACCAAGGGAGATTTAGGCTGGATATTAGGAAATACTACTTCTCTGAAAGGATGGTCAAGCACTGAATGGGCTGCCCAGGGAGGTGGTGGAGTCACCGACCCTGGAGGTGTTCAAGGAACAGTTGGATTTTGTGTTGAGGGATATGGATTAGTGAGCACTATTGGTGATAGGTGAATGGTTGGACTGGATGATCTTGAAGGTCTTTTCCAACCTTGGTGATTCTGTGATTCTGTGACATGGGCATTGTAGTTATTAGCCCATAATGATCAACTTGAGTGGAGATTTCTTAGAGGAAGAAATGAATCCTGTGCCATTTTCTTTCACTTGATGTCAATCAAAGAGTTCATATCCCGGAAGTAGAGAGAAACCAATACTTTTGGCTCTTACTGTTTATACTGAGACTTGCTTTCATGTGATGTGCTTATAAATCTGATGAAGCACAGAAAAAGAGGCAGATTCCTAGGCTTGTTAGATTCTCAACATGAGCAGTTATCATTTTTCCTCTGTTGTCTCTGTGCACTGAAATCACAGTGTTGGACATGGCCTTTTGAGTTGCTTGTCTTTTAAGAGCGGTTTAAAGAGACAGCTTTATACCAATGGTTTTCATTGTTTAGAGCAAATGATAAGTTTTAAAAATCAGGATCCATGTACTAAGGGGAAAAAAAAAAAAAAAAGTATGTCAACAGAAAAATAATATTTCTCTCTCTGAAAATTGTGGGTCATCTTCTTTGGCACATGCTTACATTGCCACTTGGGGCAGTAAGAGACAACAAACAATGGTACCTTGGTGAAAAAGTAGATTTATTGTAACCATGTTTTGTCTTCTTGTTATTCCTGGCACTTAAGAAAGAAGAGTAATTTAGTATTTCCTGAAATAGTTGTGAGGAGAAACAAGGTTCTCACCAAGACTTCTTTCCTTCCTTTAACTGTTAATTACTTGCAAGGGATGAGGAACTCTGCTTAGAGGGCTGGTATTGTAAGTGTATGTTTTTTGTAAAACAAACAAACAAACAAACAAAAAAAAACACTGAAAAATTATAAAATATCAGAAACACAATGTTATGCCCCCTTTCAAGAGTATTGGTTACAGTTGAGTGCCTATATTCATAAATCACGGGGAGGCAGTCTTCGTGGATACTAATTGCAATTTGTAGGGCTGCAGGGAAGCTCTGTGAGAAGGTAAACTATTTACTTGAAAAAATTTTGGTCCAAACAGTACTTTTTTTTTTCACAGTGAGCACTGAGAACTGCTGCACACCAGAGTTTCTAGATAAGTAGGATGGTTATACTTGGTTTAACTCTCTGTATTATGTTTTCAAACTGTATTTGCTTATGTGAGAGTAACAAGAACTTCGAACAGATTTTTCTTCATTTCTGATCTTTCAAAAGAAGGGCCATTTTGAGCCTGACTTCATTTGGGATTGCAAGCTGTCTCCTAGTTGTGATGCAGCAAATGACCATAAAAGTCAGTGGGTGGTTTGGTTAAAGAGGGAGTTGTGGAAAACAAGTGCATTCCTGTGGTAAGATGCTGGGAGAAGGAAAATGAAGAAAAATAAATTCAAGGGAACCATTTTAAGGCTCTTAAAAAACAAAACAAAACAAATAAAACAAAACAAAGCAAACCAGTGGCTTTAGCTTTAATTAATTCTGCTTCTTGTCGTTGATGGCGTTCTTTCTTTTGTTGTGTTTTGTGTGCGTGAGACTTGGAGAATTGCTTTTTTTTTTTTTTTAATTTAAATAATGTTTTGTTTAAATAAACAGCCTGGAAGGAAAAGGGTGTGATCCAGACAGTGTTGATTTTTGGTGAGAAAGGTCAGCATCTTGCACCTGCCAAAAAGATTTCTTTCAGAAACGATCGGATGTGTATTTATGGATGGAAGGGGTAAGAAGAGAAGAAAGGAGAGCTTAAATAACTTCTGTTTGTAAACAGTCCTGTAACCCCTGAATCGTCTTCTGCAGAAAAAAAGTTTAAGTGGTGGGTGTGAGGCAATCTGTGCTCCTAGGTGTTGTGAATTGATGCTTTCAGTGGGGGAAGGGATTTTACAACAGGCTCCTTCCCACCTTTATGGAACCTTAGTTTCTGTACTGAACTCCCTAGTGAGCTCTGAGGCTGCCCAGTTGGTAGCCAAGTTGGGGGAAACAGCACCTAAGAACAAAGTGTAATATTAGGGTGGTAGAAGGAGCTGAGGTTCTTCCAGTTATTAAAACCATAAAAGCTGCCCCATGGGTACTCGAGTCAGGCCCCATACTGGTGTCCTGGAATCAAATGCTTAATGATCTAATATGGGCTGGAATGGCCTTTGCCAAGATTGATCAGCAGCCTAATCATATTTTACTTCAATTTTGGAAACAACTACAAGATGATCAGAAATTTCAAAATACTCCCAAAAGATCAGGAGTATGAATAATTCGACAAATACCAACAAGAACCTGGAATTTAGAGGACTTTATAGTCCCCAATAGAAGGAAAAAGCCTCCTCAGGTGACTTGAGCTATGATGCCCAAGTCACGTGAAGAAAAAGACCTGGCCATAGGACGGTTTATGGCGTGACAAGGGATGTTAGTTCCTCTGCACCTAGGGCCTCCAGGCAAGACCAGAGACCCTATGTTGAACTGACAATTTTTGGTCCTGGAAAAATGTACCATGAGTTACGTCATTGGTGGACACAGGCACAGAAACTTCAGTTGTCTACGGTGATCCAACTAAATTTCAAGGAGAAAGAGTAATGATTGGTGGTTCTGTGGGACAGACCATTCCTGTCACCCAAGTGTGGTCGAAAATGGGGTTGGGTGTCTTCTGCCCTGGGAGTGTAAAGTCTATTGTCCCAGTCTCAGGGTACATCTTGGCATTGACATTTGATGGGGTCTGGCTCTCCAGACATCCGTAGGAGAGTTCAGACTCCAACAGAGGTGCATTAGTGTCCAGGCAGTGCAGGCAATATTGAGAGGCCATGTGAAGCATGAGCCTATTCGTCTGCCAGAACCAGACTACTAAGGGGAGGCATTATAGACTCCAAGGGGGCAAGATGAAATATCAAGGACTGTGCAGGAATTAGAAAATGTTGGGATTATAAGACCTGCACATAGTCCATATAATTCCCCTGTATGGCCAGTGTGAAAGTACTGTCATTCTCCACCTTCCATCTGAGATTATAGAGAATTAAATAAGGTCATGCTGCCTGTTCACGCTGCCGTACCCAATATTGCCTCCTTAATGGACACATTGAGATAAAAACCAGTCACTGTGTCCTAAACTTGGCACATGCATTCTTCAGTATTCCAATTGCTGAAGAATCGCAAGACCAGTTTGTGTTTACATGGGGAAGCAGGCAGTGGACCTTTCAGGTCCTGCCACAGGGGTACATGCATTTGCAGCATATTGCCATAACCTGGTGTGTGACCTGGCTAATTGGGAAAAAACGAATAGTGTTAGTTTCTATCACTATATTGGTGAACTCGTTTTGATGTCTGACTCACTGGAGGCAGTGGGACAAGCGGCAGATTCATTAACTACCTATCTGCAAAAAGAGGATGGGATATAAATCCTCAGAAGGTGCAAGGTCCGGCCTGTCTGTGAAATTCCTGGGGGCAGTTTGGTCAGAAAAGACCAAAGTACTACCCAGTGCTGTCATAGATAAGGTTCAGGCATTCCCAGTCCCTACAGCACCAAAGTAGCTGCAGGAGCTCTTAGGTTTATGTTGGAATATTGGTGTTCCTTTATACCTCACTTAGCACAGCTGCTGAGACCATTATACAGATTCAAGAAAAAGGGGCAACTGTGGGGTTGGGGGAGGATGGAACACGAGGCTTTCCAACAGGCCAAACTGGCAGTTAAACAAGTCCAGGCATTGGGTGTATTTGATCATACCCTCCTAGCTATATTGGACATCCACTGAAGGTTCACCCTTCAGTCAGCTCAGTCATTGGTTCACACTGTGAAGGGGTGGAGTGTATGGGAACTGTTGAGTCACAGCCTGAACCACTGATTGAGCACCTGAGGAAAGGACCCAGTCAACCCTGGGAGCTCAGGTGAAGGCAATTCAGCTGTGTGATTGGAAGGTGTGAAGCCTGGCTGCACCTCTCTTAGACCCCATTTAAGGGCTGACTGCCTCTGGGGAAGGATCTCTGGTTGGAGATCCCTCCCTTGTAGTATCTTTCCTGTTAGCCTAGATCTTTGGAGATGGGTGAGTACCTTTATTTTTTCTTTGAAATACCATCCTATCTGTGCTAGTCAGAGTGCAGCAGCAAACAATCATCCTTCCACCACATTAATCTTTCCAATTGTAACAGGTATGTGTTGTATAATCCTGTCACTGAAGTTCTGCACGTGGGAACAATGTTGAGAAAGTTCTTTGTGTTGTACTCAGACCTGGGAATGCTGGGAACCTCAGTGGTACAGAGCCATAAATTTCACTGCTGCAAACTCTTTCCGTGTTCTGTTTCAAGTACAGCATTGTTAATGTTGTTAAGAGATGTTGGTATTCAGGTGGTGACTGTAAAAATGGGAAGCAAATGCTCTTCAGTATTCTTTCTTAAGCACTAGGCTGCTATGTCAAGAAGCGGTCTGTTTGTTTTGGCTTTGCTTTTCTTCCCATAGACTTTTTTTCCTTTGGCTAGTATACCATCAGGCCAGAATCTGCTCCTCTATGAAGCCTCTTTGTAAGAGCTGCAGAGACTTTCTTCTACCTTATCGGCTCAAGGAACAGATCTAATGGCTAAACTTATCTGAAGAGCCCTTTTCAGTGCTGTTGGCAAAACACAGCTTTCTAAAGGAAATCTGGAAGTGACATGGGAACTGTGACCCATTTGCTAACACATGGGTATAGCAAATTCTTCTTTTGCGTGAGATTCAGAGATGTTTGTCTTAATATTGTGATGACAATAAATCATCCTTGCTGACTATTTCAGCTCCCCAGTGGGGAAGTAGGTGGGTTCCTTGATAGAGGCAATGGAATTTACATTTCACAAAGGAGGTACTTCTGCTGTTTTCCTTTGTCTTCTTTCCTATTTGCCTTATACATGTAAGAAAGTTTTCCAGAGTTTAGTGAGGAATGCCATGTCTTCTGTCTAGCTTGTGTGTGATAGTGAATTACTGCCCCCTGCCACTCCTCCAACAAAATTTTCTAGGATTTCTTCTTCATTTTTAAGTGTAGAGAAAACAGACTCTTCAGAGTACCAGGTATATACCAGAATGTATCTCTTCAGCTTCTCTGGAATCAGTGTTTGGAAGCCATTCTGCCCTCAAGTATGTGTTTTTCATTGCAACCAAAACAAAAATATTTGCTATTAGGTAAATGTATTAAAGAGAGAAGCTGTGTATCTGTTGTCTTGTGCTCTGAAGTTCTGATCATTAAGTGCACAGTAAGTAACACCTACTTAGTGGATAATCCCCACTAACCACATCAAGGAGAGGTGACAAGATAAGCACTAGATAAAAAACAAGTAGCTGTTGCTGTTTTGTTGTTGTGTTTTCTTTAATTCTGATGTTCTGGACTTCATGATATAGCACTGTTATGTTTAGACTGTAGAACTGAAAGCTCAGCTTTAAATTCACACCAGGAAGTTACTTGGTAAGCATGTTCTTATTTGGGATGACTTACAAGAAATGTTTTTCAGGATTGCCTTCTATGTTTAAAGATAACCCACAATTCAGCTGATAGGCTGTCTTTTGTGAGGGCACTTGTTTGTTATTTTATGGATTCCTAGAGGAGGGATGAAGTCCACAGTCATGCACAGCCTAACACACGCTCTGCTGAAAGCATCTCTTCGCCTTCACTAGCATTGGGCAAGTCTATTGGCAGAGCTGCTGCAGCCAGGCAAGCCCAGATCCTAGTGGGGAGCATGGCTGATATTCCCAAGGATGGGTCAGTGGCTGCCTGCCAGTAGGTCCTGCTTTTGGGAAACTTTCAGAGAGAAAGGTGCTTGCTGTGAGATGTGATTCTGAATCCAAAGCTGACCAGTTGGGCTTCTTTCCCCTCAGTCTGCCATATCTATCTTACGAGGGGCTGCGGGTGCTGGGGAAGGAAAGAGAAGAAAAAGCTGTTTGTTGCACTAACTGAAAAAATGCTTATGAACCCCTCCCATATTTTTCTTGATTTGGAGACTGTGATGTGGTTTTATTCACTAAAATAATCAGACTTCTGTGAAAACGTAGGCCAAAGTGATCCTATGCGAGGGGAAATGTACTGGAAATCTCAGATTGAGTTGCTGGTACTTCCTTTTCTGGCTGGCTTTCAGCTGTGCCTGTGAGCGCAAAGGAATGGCATGTATTTATACATTTGTAAATAAGGTCCTGCACATTTTCCGCTTGAGAACATGCACTCAGCCCTTTTATGGTCAGGAAGGGGTGTTTCCTTCTGCCTGTAAGCTGCCAGAGAGCTGCACATTTCCAAGTATGCTGCTCCAAAACTTGTAGATAGTACTGTGTAAACCTGAGTTTGAATAAGGAAATTTGGGCAATTGAAAGCAAAAAGTCTTTTTTTTCCAGTGGAAATATACTTTAGAAATTATAAACAGGTTTTTCACTCTGTACTCCTGCTAACACAGGAGCCTCAGTCAGCTGTATACTTAAAATAAAGCTTAGATTAAGCTCCTATCACCATATTTCTTCTTTTCAAAATGTTTATCAGGAGATACCCAATTGATAACAGCTTATTAGGGGATTGAACTCTTCTTGAAGATGCAATGTCAGCTGATTATAGTGGCTCAACCTACTAGATCAATAATATTCTGAGAGTAATTGATTTTGTTTAAAGTAATAATTTAAAAAATGACGTATTTCATTAAGTACTACCTACTACCAAGTCTATACTTTCAGTTATTGGAGACATTTTGGATTGAGCGATATCCAATCCCTTATGTTTGCAGAACACTTAAATGTCATTAATGTAATAGTATTTTTTATTTTGATTTTTTTTCTTATAGGAGATGCAAATACAGCAGTTTACTTGCAAATCAGTGGGACTACAGAGAGCCTAAATAAATGTTTTCTTTCTTTTATGTGAAATAGTGATCTGTTTTAGGAAAAGTAGTTTGTAATACAAAATATGTCCAGGTTGGGCTTCTTTTTCCACTGACTGTGTGACTTTGGAGAATCACAGATTTGAGGACTGCAAATAATCTGGAGTGGGTCACTTGAAGTACTTGAAATACTCTTCAACTGCTGTAGAATCTTAAATTCTTTAGCCATTCAAGATATTTTTTATACTAATGTTATGGTGCACATAGTACATCAGTACTCCTACCTCAAAGGGTTCAAATAGTTTTTCTTTAAATCAGACACTTCTTGTCTTCAGATAAAGCTGTGAAACTTTAATTTTTCCTGGAAAAAGAAGAAAGACTGGAGGAGGAAGAGTAATGGGTTGCTGACTGCTAAGAGGGATAGATTTCCAAATTTTCACTCAGTTTCCCAAAGCTGCTTTACACTGGAAGATGGGAGACTTGCCATTTGATTTTTTTCCAATTTCTGCCCCGTTTAATTAGGTCAAAACATACCGTTCAATTTGCTGTGATTTTAATAGCAGTATGTTCCATAAGTGACAAGAACATATTTAGGGTTCTAGGACTTTTATACATTTTAAATACTCAGTTGTGATTTGAGATAAAGCGTTGCTGTAATTGCAGTTTATTATTTTTAGGCTGATAGCTCTGTTCCATGGCTCCTTGGCTATATCAGCCTGCAAGTGCTGCATTGGTGCACGCTTCAGCTTAGACCACAGCAGTCTAAATTTGCTGTGTGTGTGTTTTGATTCAGTCAGTAGAAGTGGGGATTCAGGCAAGAATTAAATTCCTGAGGTTACCTTGCAGATGCTTTCATGATAGAGGGAGCTTTCTCTCCAAGGTCATGTTATTGCATTACCCAGTGTTTATGTAATCTTTGAAAATATGTAGTTAAACACTTCTTAAGAGTTAGGTAGTACTTGTATTTGTTATTCTTGCACAGGCCAAAAACTCTGCAGCTTTGTGGGACTTCATCTTTTCTCTTTGTAAGCAATCAAGGATTGACTATGAAATTAACTCCTTTGGGTGGCATGGCACGGGGTTTATTGACCATCAAAAACAGGCAGTGGGAAGAATGATGACATGACACCCAAGATGAGCGAGTTTGCCAAATCGATCCTATTGCTGGTTTACATCCAGGTGAACTCTCACCTGCAGCTTGCCATATCTTGCTTGTGGAGGAGCTGGTAACTCACATTCTTGTCTAATTTACATGTGTGGAGGCTGGGAAGGCTTTATTAGGGAGAAAACAACTATGTGATGATCTCCTGCCTTAAGATAAGCCAAGAAAATAATTCCTTTTCCAAAGAAGTGAGAATCACTGACATAATAGGCTTCCCAGGGCACTTTCTCAATGTAGCTCTTCATTACTCTGCTAGGCTACGAGTCCCAGAGCCACCAGTTAATTAGTGGCTTAATCCTCAACTTTCTTCAGCCAGAGGCAAGAAGCAAAGCTAGTATTTAAGTGTGGAGAGAAGTGAGCAGGATCAAAACAGAGAAAAAGCCAGGCCTCAGGGGGATCTTCTGTATTCCCAGAGCTCGATTATTGTTGTCACTAAATGTGCTAAATTATTGCTTGAGTCACAAGGTGTGCCCTGTGAATGCAAATAATATATTAATAAGAAGGCATCTTTAACTAAAATATATACCTTAGACTGGAATATGTCTTCTGTGAAGTCTCTCTCTACAAACCAGGACACCATCTTGCTCTTTTTTCTCTTTTCTTTTTTTCCCATCCTTCTGCATGTCAGATTAGTTTCCTTTTGTACTGCTTTTCCACTCCTAACCTATTGTGATTTTTCTTGCTAGCTCATTGTCTGAGTTATTTTCTGTTCATTGTGGCTCTTGTCACTGATGATGTCTAAAGATGTCATTGCTGAAGGCGAGAGGCTGGATCAGAGGACTCCTCAAAGGTCACATTGATCTCTCAGTGATTCCTGTGATTGCCTAATAAGCTTGCTCTTCCATTGGCCTTAACATATATCATGGAACCAATTAATGCTTCAGAGGAGAATCACAAATCTGACTCACTAAACAGGGAGAGTCTTTTGTGTAAGAAGCAGTGAGCATCTTCCTCACCTGGAAGCTCTGTGTGCTAAAAGTTAAGCTGCTGATCAGGTGCTTTTCTTGATCAGGGTCAAAATGTTGAGCATCCTATAGGTTCATATCTATTTATTCTGATCTA